AAATCAACGACCTAACTTTACATCTTAAGGAACCAAAAAGAGAAGAACAAACCAAACCCAAAGGTAGCAGAAGGAAGGAAATAATAAAGATTAGAGCAGAGATAAATGAAATATCGAAAATAGAAAAATAATAGAGAAAATCAGTGAAACTAAAAGTTGTTTCTTTGAAAAGATCAACAAAATTGACAACCCTTTAGTAAGATGGACTAAGGAAAAAAAAAGACTCAAATTACTAAAATCTGAAATGAAAGTGACGACATTACTGATTCAGTAGAATTAATAAGGATTATAAGAGAACTAAGAACAATTGTACACCAACAAATTAGATAACCTAAATGAGATGCATAATTCCTAGAAATGCAAAACCTACCAAGACCAAATTACGAAGAAATAGAAAATCTGACTAGACCTACAACTAGTGAAGAGTTTGAATCAGTAATCAAAAATCTCCCAACAAAGAAAATCCCTGGACCTGAAGGTTTTACTGGTGATTCTACCAAACATTCAAAGAACTAACAGCAATCCTTCTCAAACTTTTCCAAAAATTTGCACAGGAGGGAACACTTCTTAACTCATGCTTAGAGGCCGGTATTACCTTGATACCAAAGCCAGACGAAGACAAGTGAAGAAAAGAATACTACAGACCAGTATCCTTGATGAACACTGATGCAAAAATCCTCAACAAAATATTAGCAAATCAAATTCAGCAGCATATTAAAAGGATCATATACCATTACTGAGTGAGATTTATACCTGAGATAAAAAGATGGTTCAACATACACAAATCAATCAATGTAATACATCATATCAACAGAATGGAGGGAAAATAAAACATATGATCATCTCAATTATGCAAAAAAAGCATCTGACAAAATTCAACACCCTTTCGTGATAAAAAGACTCAACAAACTAGGAACAGAAGGAAACTACCTCAACATAATAAACGCCATATGTGAAAAACACACAGCAAATCTTATACTCAGCAATGAAAGACTGAAAGCTTTTCCTCTAAGATCAGGAACAAGACAAGGATGCCCACCTTCACAACTTATATTCAACATAGTATTGGAAGTCCTAGCCAGAGAACTTTGGCAAGAAAAAGAAATAAAAAACGTTCAAATTAGAAAGGAAAAAAATAAAATTATCTCTTTGTAGATGATATGAAACCTTATAGAGCCTACAAAAAAATTGTTAGAACCAATAAATGAGTTCAGCAAAGTAGCAGGACACAAAGTCACAAAAAAATCAGTTGCATTTTTCTACATTAACAATGAACAATCTGAAAATGAAATTAAGGAAACAATCCCATCTACAATAGCAACAAAAAGAATAAAATACTTAGGAATTAACTTAACCAAGGAAATGAAAGACTTGCGCAATGAAAACTAGAAAACACTGCTGAAAAATTTTTTAAAAGACATAAATAAGCAGAAACACATCCTCTGCTCATGGATTAGAAAACTTCATATTATGAAGATGTCAATACTACCCAAAGTTAGCTACACATTCAATGCAATCCCTATCAAAATCCCAATGACAATTTTTGCAAAACGGAAAAACCTATCCTAAAATTCATATGGAATTTCAAGGGACCCTAAAAAGGCAAACAATCTCAAAAAAGAAGAACAAATCTGGGAACTCACACTTCCTTATTTCAAAACTTTCTAGAAAACTCTAATAATCAAAACTGTGTTGTACTGGCATAAAGACAGACACATGGACCAATGGTATAGAACAGAGAGCCAAGAAAGAAACTCTCACATAAATGGTCAAATTATTTTTGACAAGGGCACCAAGACCATTCAATCGGGAAAGGACAGTCTTTCAACCAGTAGTGCTGGGAAAACTGAACCTCCACATGCTAAGAATCAAGCTGGACCCTTACCTACATCATATGCAAAAACTAACTCAAAATGGATCAAAGACCTAAATGTAAGACCTAAAACTATAAAACTCTTAGAAGAAAACATAGGGTAAAATCTTCACGACATTGAATTTGACAATGATTTCTGGATATGACACCAAAAGCACAAGCAACAAAACAATTCATTAAAACAAAGAATTGTATGCATCAAAAGACACCATCAACGGAATAAAAAAGACAACTCGCAGGAGAAAGGATTTGCAAATCATATATCTGATAAGAGATTAATATCCAGAATATACAGAGAACTCCTAAAACTTAACAACAAAAACCAAACAACTTGATTCAAAATGGGCAAAATACTTCAACAGACATTTCTCCAAAGACTACATACAAATGGGCAATAGGCACATGAAAATATCCTCAACATCACTAATCATTAAGGCAATGTAAATCAAAACTATAATGAGATACCACCTCACACTCATCAGGAAGGTTACTATCAAAAAAACAGAAAATAAGTGTTGGTGAGGATGTGTAGGAATTAGAACCCTTGTGCACTTTTGGTGAGAATCTAAAATGGTATAGCCCCTGTGGAAAATAGTATGGAGGTTCCTCAAAACATTCAAAATAGAATTACCATATGATCCAGCAATTCCATGTCAGGATATATACCAAAAAGAAATTAAAGCAGGGCCTCAAACAAATATGTGTACACCCATGTTCACAGCAGCATTGTTCACAGCAGCATTGTTCACAACAGCTAAAACATGGAAGCAACCCAAGTGTCTATCTACGAAAGAATAGATAAGCATAATGTAGTATATACATACAAAGAAATATTATTCAGTCTTTAAAAGGAAGTTAGTTCTGACATACGCTACAAAATGGATGAAGCTTGAGGATATTATGCTGAGTGAAATAAGCCAGTCACAAAATGACAAAGACTGTATGATTTCACTTATACGAGGAACATAGAGTAGTCAAAATCATACAGACAGAGAGCAGAAGGTGTTTGCTAGGGGCTGGAGAGAAGCAGGGGAATGGGTAGTTACTGTTTAATGAATGGGTATAGAGTTTCAGTTTTACAAGATAAAGAGCCACCTGGAGATGGATGGTGGTGATGGCAGAACAACACTATGAATGTATTTAACACCACTGAACTGTACACCTAAAAATGGTTAAGATGGTAAATTTTATGTTATGTGTATTTTACCACAATAAAAAATATTGGGGAAAAAAATCTTCCTAAAGGCGCTTGAGCCTAGACCCCATAACCTTTTATATATTCCAATTCTGACTTGTCCCTTCTGAGACACTACTAAGACTTGGTCAAGGTAGTGTTCTCACTTCCTGAAATGAGTCCTAATAAACACAGAGTTGCTTTATTAACAACTTGTTTGGTGATATTTTGGGGAATTCAATGAGGCACTTCTAATTTACACTGCTAACAAGAATATAAGAAACTTCTTGTTTTTCTACAAGTTTGTAAAGTAAGGTAGGAATCTGGCGCTTTATTTTTCTTCAGATGGAACTCAGTTCTAACACCATTTCTTGAATAATCTATTTTTCCCTATTGATGTGAAAAGCCACCTTTATCATTCACTAACTTATGTATTTGGATCTATTTCTGGGTTCTATTATGTTCTAAGGAATACCTATGTATTCATGTACACTATGCCAAGCTTCTTTTTCAGAAATTTCCCAGCCACTCTTGTATGTTTATTTCCACATAAACCTTAGAATCAGCTTAAGTACCACAAACACGCTCTTGGGATTTTAAATTGGATTGTATTAAACTTACTAAGGATGCTGATAACCTTATACTGTTGACTCTCTTAGCCAAAAACAAGATGTGACTTTATGTTTTGAAATGTGCTTGGAGCTTCAGCTTGTACTTGGTGTTTACCTGTTTCTTTTCTCCAGAGTCAGGTCTCTGTTTCAGACCTGTGCCTCATATAACCCAACTCTAATTTTACTCCCATACACAACCTTGTAGGTCTGTCTGGCCTCAAAATTCCCAACATTTCTAGTTTTGTCTTTCCTCTGTTACTTGAGCTCTGATTCTGATATGTTATCTCAAAGTTCCTGTTTCAGTGCTGCGAAATAGTGAGAATAGGGGACATCGTAATTAAACTTTCAATTTTTAGCTGTTAAGATTACTTTGGTGGAAAGGCATGAAAAAAGCACCATCAAAAATGTTTCTAGTGCTGGCCTGGTAGCGCAGCATGAAGTTGGCACGTTCCACTTTGGCAGCCCGGGGTTCGCCAGTTTGGTTCCCGGGTGCAGACATGGCACCACTTGGCAAGTCATGCTGTGGCAGGTGTCCCACATATAAAGTAGACGAAGATGGGCATGGATGTTAGCTCAGCACCAGTCTTCCTCAGCAAAAGGAGGAGGATTGGCAGCAGATGCTAGCTCAGGGCTAATCTTCCTCAAAAAAAAAAAAAAGTTTCTTTATAGATGAGGTTAGAGAGAGAATCAGATCTGATACTATTTTTTAATATTTAGTTACAGTATGTAACACCAGCCGGGAAAATATGGTACAATTCTAAGGTTTCACTTCTTAAAAAATATTTTGGGGGCCGGCCTGGTGGCACAGTGGTTAAGTTTGCACACTCCACTTTGGTGGCCCCAAGTTTGCCAGTTCAGATCGCGGGCGTGGACCTATGCACGGCTTATCAAGCCATGCTGTGGCAGGTGTCCCACATATAAAGTAGAGGAAGATGGGCACAAATGTCATCTCAGGGCCAATCTTCCTCAGCAAAAAGAGGAGGATTGGCCACAGATATTAGCTCGGGGTAATCTTCCTCAAAAAAAAAAAAAACAGCTCCTCTATAACACACAATATATTTCTCAGATATGAAATAGTTCATAGTAGTTTTCAGAGTTATCTTCAGTGTTATTCTTAGCTTTTATGTTATCAGAAAGTCTAAAAAAAAATTTTATTCTCAGTTTTCTGGAAGCCCAAATGTTATTAACAGTTTTACTTGGAATTTTCTTGAGACTTCATTTAAAATGATGCACAATCCCCTGAATACATTTAGGAAATATAAAAATTAACTTTGCAATTAAGGATCAGAATACATTTTTAAATAGATGCTAAAAATGGTAATCTGAGGGAAAAAATACTCACATTTTGCCATTTAAGTTCTTGTGTCTCCACAATAATTTTACCAATCTGCTCTTCATATTGAGTTTCTGCTTCCTAAATCAATAAAAATAATAAAAATGCTAGGAAAATTAAAACTTTAAAACTTCTAGTTTCAGCACTTTTAAAGAGATAAAAAGAGCATCCTGCCACCCTTCCAACAAGAAAAAAGCTGGGCAAATTACAAATTAAATAGACAAACCCATCAGAGAACTGAGGTTCCAGATCAATCAAGTAATCCAAAATGTGGATAGAGAAAGGTGCCTGCAGAGAGAACAGAACTGCAGCGTTTACTTACCTAGGACATAAGCCACTAGGTACTATGAGAAAACTCAGCTAAAAGTCCTTAATAAATTGTTAAAGGCAGAACATAGGCTAGGGTAACAACATGAATCCCCTGTGGGCCCCAGAAATAAGGAGACTTATACTTCCTATTAGGCTCTTCTTCCAGATACCCACCAGGTGCTTACAGGAAAGGATGGGAAGAATCTGAGAAAGCTTGCCCCTGTGGTGCTGGCTGGGGAGGAGAGGAGCTGTCGAAAGCCATCTTCCCTATTTCCCCTACAGACCAAGAACCTTGATCTGCAGGGGAAAGGGCAACAAAAACTCTACCTAAGGACCCTCGTGGAAACCCTCTGCAACTGGGAAAGGGAACCAACAGCCACCACTGAAAACTCTACCAAGACAGACCTGTTCTCCTGATCCCCCTAAAAAACAAAGGCCTTAGTCTACAGGGGGAGGACAATAAAAACTATAGCATGAGAGCACCTGTGGAAACCCACAGCAACTGGGAGGAGAGGCTAGGAAAATACAACAACAGCTCTTTTGTTGGGGAGGAGCAGGAATACACGCTAGGCCCAGCATTAAATATAAAGGACAACAGGAACTCTTGTGAAGATCTTACCTTGAGACCCAGGTTCACTCTAAGGTGCAGGCGTTAATAACCCTACCACTTGACCAACAAGCAGAGGCTTTAATAAGAACATCAGAGAATGACCCCATTCCTCCACTGTCACCACACCTGAGCAACAAGTATCAAGTAAAAAGAACAGGGAGAGCTGCAAAGATAGACTCTCTCTGAGAATCAGCACAAAAGGAAGACCTAAGTCAAGTGGAAAGGCCCAGGGCCAAGCACAAAGCAATTATTTAGGAAAAACCCTCTGATTTTGTTTAAAATAATTTAATCCTCCTGAACTAGCCCATGCCATAAACACAAGGTATCACTAGAGAAGTCTGAAGCTTTTGTGGAAAACTTCTACAGGCAGACTTGAAAACTGCCCGGATGAGCACCGACGGTGGGCCCCACCACATACAGAGAGCTCTTCTGCAAAGGCTGGGAGGTTTTTTTCTTTTGGTCCCAGGTATTTAAGGAAATCTGTGTCAAATAAAGCACGAGCTGATCACTAAGCTAAGCACACAGTGACTTCAGTGGCTACACATGACAAAAACTGCAGAATTTACAAAATTATTTCAGAAAAGTCACTAAACAAACAATGACGACAACAAGCAGCAACTCTGGGGAGGAGGAAGAACCTGATTTCCAGAGTTGCCACATTTTCAAAATGTCCATGTTCAGTTCTCAACAAAAAAATTACAAGGCATGCAAAGAAACAGGAAAGTGTGATCCATACACAGGGAAAAAAAGCTAATAGAAATTGTCCCTAAGCAAGTGCAGACCATGGACTTGATAGACAAAGACTTTAAATCAACAATTTTAAGTATGTTCAATGAGCTAAAAGAACCCACACACAAAGATACTGCAGCCATTAAAAAGTTAGTAAGTTTATGCTCATAAACCTGACAACTTAGAAAAATGGACCAATTCTTCAAAAAAACCACAAACTACCAAACCTTAACCAAGATGATATAGATAATCTAAACAGCTCTATAACTATTAATTAAAAAGCTCCTCAAAAAGAAATTTCCAGGTCCAGATGATTTCACTGGAGAATTCTATCAAATCTTTAAAGAAGAATTAACATCATTTTTACAGTCCCTTCCAGAAAAACAGAAGAGGAAGGAGCACATCCTCACCCATTTTATAAGCCCTGTTTACTGTGATGCCAAAACCAGACAAAGGCAGTACAAAAAAAGAAAACTAAGACCAATATCTCTCACAAGTTTTGATGGAAAAATCCTCGATAACATACTAGCAAATGGAATCCAGCAATGTATAAAAAATTGTACAGCATGACTAGGTAGAATTTATTACAGGCATGCAAGGCTGGTTCAACGGCTGATGTAATTCACCATAACAATATGCTATAGAAGAAAAATCATATGATTGTATCAATTGACACAGAAAAAGAATCTGACAAAATCCAACACTCATTCACGATAAAAACTCTCAGCTAGTTAGGAATAAAGGAAATTGCCTCAATTGGATAAAGAGCATTTATAAAAACACTACATTTGGGCCAGCCTCAGTGGCCTAGTGGTTAAGTTCAGCACGCTCCACTTTAGTGGCCTGGGTTTAATTCCTGGGCCCAGACCTACATTACTCTGCTAAGGGGCTGTGCTGTGCTGGTGGTCCACATACTGAAAAATAGACAAGAGCAGCACGGATGTTTACTCAGGACGAATCTTCCTCAGCAAAAAACAAACAAACAAACAAAAAAACCCACTAAATTTAACATATTTAACAATGAAAGACTGAATGATTTCCCTCTAAGATCAGGAATAAGTTAGGGATATCTATGCTCACTGTCCTTACTCAACATACAATGAAGTTCTAGCCACTGCAATAAGGCATGGATGAATGGATAGACAGGGAAAGGGAGAGAGAGAGAAGAGGAGGAGGGAAGGAGAGAAAGAGGGAGGGAGGAGGAGGGGCAGGGAAGGAGGGAAAGAGAGAGAGAAGGAAGAAAGGAAGGAAGGAAGGGAGAAAAGATCAGACAGAAGTAAAACTGTCTCTATTTCTAGATGACATGATTGTATACATAGAAAACATCGAGGGGCGTTAATGGAACCTTCTGGGTTGATGGAAACATTTTATATTTTGACAAGGGTTTGCATTATACAGGTGTACGCATCCATCACAACTCATCAAATGTACAGTTAAGATTTTTGCCTTTCAGTGTATGTAAATTTTACTCTAAAGAAAAAAAGCTGTAAACAAATATCGAACTCTCCTTAATAATATGCATTCTGAAGTATTTAGGAGGAAGTGCACTGATGCCTGCAATTTATTCTGAAATCACCAAAAAAGAAGCTAAAGGAGGGATAAATAGATAGATATGTGACAAAGCAAGTATAGTAAACTGTTAATGGTGTATGAGTGTTCACTGTCAAATTCTTTTATTTTGCTGTGTTTGACAATTTTCATAACAAAATGTTTGGGAGAAGTCAGAGTGGATATTAACAGATAAAATATATTTTTGTGGGGCCGGCCCGGTGGCACAGCGGTTAAGTGCACGTTCCACTTTGGCAGCCTGGGGTTCGCCAGTTCAGATCCCAGGTGCGGACATGGCACCACTTGGCAAGCCAACTGTGGCAGGCATCCTACATATAAAGTAGAGGAAGATGGGCATGGATGTTAGCTCAGGGCCAGTCTTCCTCAGCAAAAAGAGGATTGGCAGCAGATGTTAGTTCAGTGCTAATCTTCCTCAAATATATATATATGTATTTTTTTGTTATGAAATATTTTCCTTATGACTCTCTTACATATTCTTTGCTTTATTACACACACACACTTATGCTATGGTGTTCAAAGATAGGCTTTCATGAAAGTCGTCTCATTTAAAATGCTTTCAGCAGCAAGTAGCAACAACAAATCCCGACTCACAATGGCTTATAGGACATATCATCTCACATGACGAGTCTAAAGGCAGAGTGCTTCCAGAATTGATTTTCATTGGCTCAACAATATCATCAAGGATTATGATTTTGCCATCTTTCCATTTTGCCATTATCCAAGTGATTTTCCTTAGGCTTTTTACCCCTCCACTACTTTAAATGCAGGAATTAAGGACAGAAAGGACATCATCCTGCAGTAGAAAAAGTGTAATCTCTTAATTAAAGGGTAACAAAACTTTTCCCAGAAGCTTCCCAACACACATCTTCTAATAGCTCACAGGTTGTAACTAGGTCACATACCCACTCCTCAACCAGTCATTGGCAGGGGGAGTGCACGGGAACTTCATGAATGGTTAAGACCAGTCAGGATATACCTGACTCACCGTGGTGAGAGGTGGACCCTAAGACACAATCAGGGTTCTTACAACATGGAATAAGGGAGGGAATGTACACCAACAGGGTATGCTCTGTGATAAACAGTGAGGAGAGATTAGAAGCTCTTGAGTAATACATATCTACAGTCAAAACAAATTGAAAAAGCAAATAAGCATATACACATTTTTGGGGGGGGGGTACATATAACACGCATATCTTCCCAAAGCAATTGGATTGAAAATGTGCAAGATACTTTCTTCTCACAGGCCTGGTTACACACTTCTATTTAGTGGCTAAAGTGAGTTCTGAGATCTTACTATGATTTAGGTATTGTTCTGAGAATTCTTATGTATTGATTAATTTAACCCTAGGTATAATTTTGTGAAGTAAGTACTCTCATTATCACCATTCTATAGATGAGGAAACTGGGTTAGCAAGAGGATAAGTAACTTGCCTAAAGTCACATAGCAGGTAAACAGCAGAGCCAGTATTTGAACCTAGATGATCTGTCTGCTGAGTCTCCCAAACACACCATTATACTACCTTTAAGAGACTCTGGGTGCTGACAGACAGTATGGATTGTGATGCTATACTCCTTTCCTTCAAAAACTTCAGAATTTAATCTTCACATCCCACAAAAGTTAGAAAACCATTCAAAATCATATTACCTATTTTAAATATACAAGTCCATTCTGATTATTTGCTAGAACATTCCAAAATAAGAACTAAAAATATTTATTGAATGGAAAAGCAAAAGAATTTAAAAATTGCTACAAATGTCCTAATATTAGTATTTTTCTATTTCAGAAATCTTTGTAATAGATTAAGTTGACTTACATGAAAATAGTACTTTAAATACTAATTAGGAAACAGATTTTTAAAAATAT